ACACTACCACACATCCCGGGAGGCCGGTCGGAAGCTTAGAGCTTGTCTCGGCTGGGCGGTGCCCCGCTGTTGGGAGATACCTGGTTGAAAAAAAAAAGAAAACGTTAGCTGACAGGTACGTCGGCGCCGGATGTCACCATCCAGTGAGCAAGATCACCGCTACCTCCCGAGGGAAAATACACTACACTTACGAGATTTATGACAGCAGTTGAAGCGTCTGGAATCAATAATCAATCGATCGATCACGTCATAAATAAAGGAAAAACATCCCAAAATCGCGCTTGTGGTTGTCCCTCGCATTAAATTTACGTTCCATTGCCATCGTCCTCAGAAGTGGATGTGGCAACTACATCGGAGAACTCAGTCGTGACTATCTTGACAATTACGAAATATTTTCAGATTCAGTTGGCCGTTTGCATTTGCCTACCACGACATAATCACCCAGAGGAATCATCCATGTCTTATGCTTTATTCGAATCCGGAACCCTTGCGCAGAGTGATTGTTGTTGCAGTTGTGCGCATTGCCATTGCCGACTCGATGCTCGAAGCGAAAATAACTGCGAGCACAACCTACGTCACAGGCGGAGTGGATGAGATGACAGAGCAGAAAGCGTATCTGTAAATCTGAAAACATCGATAATTCATCATGTCATTTGGCTGTTGTTGTTGTTTTTTTCCTAAATGAAGTATTGAAGCCGATGAGATGCATGGAGGTTGATAGCGATTCGCGCATGCGCCGTACGTGTAACGCCTCTTCCCTCTAACGGCCGCGAAGCTCGCAGATATCTGGCGGTCTTTGTACTGCCGCCGCCCGCCGGCCGGCCGGCCGGCCTGCCTCCCACGGCCTTTGAGCCTCCAAGGGCTGCAGAGGCCCTAATACGCAGCCCGCTGTGCAATCGCGGCTGCCTCCATCACTCGCGCCGACGAGCCTCCATCTCGTGATGAGGTGATTCAGCGGCGCCAGCGTATCCTGCCACTGGGCTGTACCGAGTTCACCGCTAACACCGTTTCCGATTCCACAACGTCCGCGCCCTGCATCTCCATCCTTACCGTTATCTCCACCATCTCCAAAACTACCCCCACCACCACCACCACCACCACCACCATCACTACCATCAGCACTCCTATCTCTCCGCAGCCATAATCGCCTCTTTATGTTCAACCTGCATCACCTCCACTTTCACCTTCACTAACGCCTCCGTCTCTATTTCTGTACGCACCTCTACAGACCCGAAATAGTCACGTTCGGACAAGGGCAACCTCCACCGAAAGCCCTCCGTGTCCGTCTTCACTACTACTGTGGTACCATTGCCACCACCCGAACCACACCCACCAGCAATCGACATTATCACCATTCCCCCCACCTTGCGGCACCACCATCTGCAACTGCAGCCACTGCCATCGTTATACCCATCGACCCGAGCGAAGTAACCCTTGACATTATTAATATAATTGCCGTTGTATATCTCATATCGTAACTGCATCGGCGGCTCCCTATCTTCCAGCGACGTCGCCACTCGCGCAGTCACTGTATCCTCCAGTGCTGTAATTGACCGCTCGAAAACCTCCACCTCCAGACGCTCACCACTACCGCGTCTCTCGCTTCCACCGCGTTCATCTCTGCGACACATCCGGCGTCATTATCATTATCATCGTTGCGGCTGCCCTCGACGTCATTATCAGTCGCCCCTCGTATCACTACTCCCTACGTCGTGCCCAGCGCTTTCGCGATTCACCGCCTTCATGTAACGCTGGTGGCTGGAGCGACATGTAGCTCAGGGAACAGACTCCAGCTTTCCACTGGGGGTTTTGGGGTTCAAAACCCGAACGGTTCATGTGGATTTTGTGATCCATTCCACAGTTGATGGACGAAACAGGTTCGCAGCAGGTTGACTCAAAGTACTCCCGTTCCCACTGCATCTCATGCCACCAATTCATCCATCATTCATGTCATATCAATATCGTTATCATCCAACTATCGTATCATTTGTCTATTCCTAATATGGACAAAAGGCGTAGGTATTGGTGATCATTATGAAGAAGTAAAGCCAAGTTCTCTTCAAGACCGCTTCAGTTTCATGTATCAGTTCCATATCCAACGCTGTCGCGTCACAGCCACCACAATCGCCTCTGCATCACACTCTCAAATTTTAAGAAACATTCCATTCACTTTTTCCTCGTACTCAGATAACTCGACATTACAAAGTACATTTGCACTATATCATACAAAAACATCCGAAAATATTTGCAACATCTTATACGTCTTAGACTATTATGAATTCTCCCCTTACGCGTTTTATTGTAGTAGTACCTATCAAGCATACGTTGCTGCTTCTATTACTGTTGTCTCCTTTTCCTCTCCAACCACAATCGCAATCACTGCCAATCTCCTCACCCTGCACCTATTCGAGTCTCCAGCGCCATTATCACCACCTCCGCTGACCGTTTGCCGGTCTCAAACGTCCGCCCGGGTTCTGCCATCCAATCGACGGGCGTCGTTAACCCTCGTCTAGACGGAGTGCCACTTCTCATAATTGCGCCCATCTATAATTATTACGAAATGGTGCCTAGAGGCATTGTGGGAATTCACTCAGTACAATGAACCCACACGTCCTTGTCAAAGAAAAGGTGCTACAATAACGTAGTCATAGAGATTGACAAATTATTCTCAACTTCGAAACAGTTACAAGGCTCAGCACTCAGCGCAATAGTGCAGTAGAAGTTTATGAGCTGTTAAAGAAGACTGGCTTTGATAGCTCCATGACTCCGCGCATGCTGCCGCTCAAGTGCCATTGACCTCGAGAGTGGTGGTTCTATCCCAGGCGGCGTCAATAGATTTCGTGCCAACACCGTTTTAGAGAAAAAACGCTTCTCTCACACATGCGCATTCATGTTGTTAAAAGGATCTCAATCAATCGCGACGAGAGAAAACTGCTGCCCGAATCTTTATTTATTTTTATTTATTTGTTTGTTTATTTTTATTTATTTATTTGTTTATTTTTATTTATTTATTTATTATTTTGTCAAAGTACACGGGAAACGGCAAGTGACGTATGGGGGAGACGTACAATCTGCGCACTTTTTCTTGCGCTCCAGAATCTCTTCCGCACCTTTCAACAATAAATAGCTGTATGCTGAATACAATTTCCAACAAGCAAACAATATTAATTTGAAACTCGAATGATACGTATAGTGACTCTGAAATACGCGAGTTCTCTCAATGTCTTCAGTACGTGTGTGAAATATGGTACTTAGCGGCGATATGTTACAATTATTTATTCTGTACATAATCCGCAGTTGGTCAGTCTGTCGGTTTAAGTTAGAAATCCGGTGTGGAAATGATTTTTCATTACCCGTGAAAACTGATACCATGAATAATGAAATCAGTTTGAGGTATCAATTTTACTGCTTAATGAAATCTTAAGTTATCCGCAGTATGTGCATGTGCAAAATTATAAAATCTTTACTCAAAATTCAAAATTCTGATTCACGTTTTGATATTTCTTCGGTGATTAAAATGCTGAACTGATTAATATATAGTTTAATCCGTTAAAGCTTGAAACGTACATGAATCGGAGGCTCATGCTACGAATTGATTAAACTTTTAAAATACTAATCTAATCTAGCAGAAACAATCTGATTGTCCCTCTCTACCTCCGATCCTGATTTCATTCCCGCTTAAACCCCTCTCCGCTCCCACTTCCATCCATGCCTCGCCTCCACCCCTTCTTCCTTTCGTGTCCCGTTTTCACCTAAGCCATGACTCCGCGAGAAACCGGCCTTGCTTCCGCGTCCATGCCCGCCCTCGCCTCCGCCGCCACATCATTACCTCCACCATCCTTGCCTCCTCCTCCGTCTCTGCCTTCGCTTCCCTTTCTCTTCTCGCCCTAGCTTGTATTTGCCCACGCTCCTCCTCAATCCCCCTCCATACTTACCTAGGACTCCGCCTTCTCCCACGCCGTTTAAATTCCAAGTAGTTTGTTTTCGAACGTTTAGAAATCCAATGATTTATATTATATTTGTAGGTATAGTAGTGGTTACTCCTCGAGACAATAATGTAACAAAGAAGTTTATTCTCATCAAGCGTAACCAAACATTTTCAAAAGCAGACTAACCCCAGACAAAATAATGCCCTGTGCGGAACCAGTACCACCAATTCATCAAACACGAGTAATGTTATTTGATTGAAGAAATGACGCATAAAAACAAAACGCACAAACGAGATCCTATGTAACAAAAGAAGCAAGTGTGCTTGTTGGTTCACAAATGTGCTTTACAGGGTCAAAACATATGCTCAAAAAGGCGGGTATAAGCACCTTATTCTACAATCAACTTCGCGTCCCTTTCCCTGCGTTGGAATCTGTGGGTATCTACCTGTAACAGGGCATTCTTTTCTGTCTGCCTGTTTGTATATACATTTGTAGTATATTTGTCTATCTGTCCGCTCAGTGATTTTGTGTATATACACCCATTTCTATGAAACTGTATGCCTGACTGGTCTGGGAGTCTGTCTGAAAACATGCCTACCTGTTTTATTTGTGTCTGCCTGTGTTCGTTCACCTGTCGCTTGTGTTTGCTTAGTGTGTGGCGCCGGCGTGGCTGAAGTGTGTGTGTGTGTGTGTGTGTGTGTGTGTGTGTGTGTGCGCGCGCGCGCGTGTGCGTGCGTGCGTGGTTGTGGACTTAGAGCTTCTCGTGGGGAGATACCCGGTTGAGGGAAACCCCAGCAAATCACCAGCACCTCCCGAGAAAAAACGTGCACTACACCTACGGGATTAATGACTTCAGTACAGTCAGTCAATGTCACAGACGCGCCCGCAATCATTTACAACCAACCAAGTGTGTGTGTGTGTGCGCGCGTGTGTTTCTGTGTCCGTCTGCCTACATTCCTGTCAGTATGTGTGCCCGGCCTTCTTTCTTCCTACCTTTCTGCCTGTACCTCTCTGGCAGTTCACCTGTGTTTGTGCTCTGAGTCTGAAGGCGGGTTTCTCGTGGGTGCGCAGGGGCGCCGGCGTGACCTCGGAGATGGACTCGACGGGGTCCGTTGCGGCCGTGGAAGCCGCGCTGGAACGCCTCAACAAGCAGCGCGACGAGCTGGAGGAGCTGTGGGCGACACGCAAGCTCAAGCTCGACCTGTGCCTGCGGCTGCGGCTGTTCGAGCGCGACGCTCTCGAAGTGTCGTCGCAGCTCGAGCTGTGGGCCGAAGAGCTGCAGCGCTCCGAGCTGAGCCGCGACGCCGCGCAGGCCGAACAGCTGCTGCGCATGCACAACGACAGCGTGTCGCACATGCAGAACACCACGTTCCAGGTGCTGCAGCAAGGCCAGGAGCTGGCGCAGGTATGGCGCCAACGTTATTAGCTCAAATAGTCGAATTGCAATGAGTACAATAGCGAAAAAATGAAGATTTTATTGGTACTTTTATTACTCGCTACAATTAATGCGCGTAACTATTGCGCGACACTCATGTAAAAACACCACATTCCAACTTCTGCATCAGGGCCAGAAACAGTACAAATATGGTCGCTGATGATTCCCATCGCTAGTACAATAAGGTTTGATCGGGGCAAACTTTGAATAGGACTCCGTAATCTAACTTGTTGACATCACTTCGTTCAACATTGCCTTAATAACGCCAAATACCAGATAAGTAATAAACAGGAATCAGACTACTAGTGGGTAGTTTCTAAGGCTAGTGAGAAACAAGATGTGTAGTTAACACCGGGCACTCTTGACTATCACCTACTATAGCTACCGGGCGTTCTGTGGTTAATACCTTGATTAACCAGACGAAGTTCAAAATCTGTTTGTCGCTGTTCAGCCTTATCCATACTATTTGGCTAATGTGCGATTTAACCAAGCTCTTCCTAAATTGGCCACATTTTGGTCTCTAGCATACCAGGTAATACCATAATCTTTGATGTCGGAGTATTTTGTAGTTATTATTGAAACAAGTTTGTTATGACTATTTTACTTAAACATTTTTGTTAACAGTTACGTTACTTGTTTGTTTCAAAAGTTGTTTATACAATGAACTCATATTGCAATTATTGCTACAATAAATACACACAAGCACTATTAGTTGATAAAATTTCTTATCCCTTCTGTATGAGTCCACCGCACAAACATTATCATCATAGTTAATTGTGATAATAAATGAAATATTGCTGGACGTGTATAAATACATTGAGAACTTGAGTTGAAAGTATCAGCAATACTATTGCCAATTTTGATTCTAACCTCCACATTTTTACACACTCAAAAATTTTTTAAATCATCAAATTTTGAACATTTTCTTTGTACAAATATAAATAGGTAGAGGTGAGTGTATACAAAAGTATGTAACTTGGATGTAAAGTAATGTTTTTTGTTTTACATAATAACTGTTCTTCTGTGAAACATTTAGTATTTTACCTTGTTATATAAATAACTCTTTCTTTATTTATCAGGGAAAATAATTTAATATGATTTGTATCTCTCGAGAATGGCTGTTCTGTTGAAACTACAACTGCCCATGCAAATGTTATGAAATGCTCTTGAAAAATCAATATTCTCAATTAACATTCATGTTGTAGATTGAATTTAAATTTTAGTTTAGATCAGTTTTGTAATAAGAAGAATTATAGTCTTAAAATGTATTTATCCATTAAAAATGGTATGGGTAAAACCTAATTTTTTTCTAATGGATAAAAATATTATTAATCACTAATTTTAAAGCTCTAGGGAGCTGAAAAGTCCAGATTACTTATAGTTACTTATAAGTACTCAAATTTATTCAAAATTTTGCCTTTTACTGGAATATGTTTATTATTAAAAGTTCTTTTTTCTCATCCTTTCTCAGCTGAATTTTCAAAAATATAGTTAAAATTAGTTTGCACAATAGAAAATTAATTTTTTAGTGACATTGCATAGAAAATATGTAAATAGATTTAATTAATTTATTTATATTGAATTACTTTCATTAATACTCATTGTTATACCATGTCACTGTAAATATCTAAATTAAACTTAAAATAGTACTGTGTATACTGTATTGAATCTAATTAGTTTATTATTTCACTACTGTTGACAAGAATTGATTTTAAAAAATGCTTTCAGTATCTCATTAAAAGCTGTAAAATGAATTATATAATTTGTCAAAAATTACAATTGCACTCTATTTCGTGTGTACAACACATTAAAAGGAATTTCTGAATTTCAGGCATTTGAAACCTCGGGTATGTCACTAATGGCAGATAGTCAATATTCAGCACAGACACGAGTCCAAGTCCTGCTAGAATTTCTACATGAAAGAGAAATGGACCTTGAAGATCTGGCAGAGATGAAACGAGTCAAATTAGAACAGTGTGTGCAACTCTGCCAATTTCAAAATGATGCCAATCAGGTAATCTTTAGATTATTCACATAGTTTCAAAAATTTAGGATATATTGACTATTTTGTATAAAGTTGATTCAAAGTTTATTCTATTGTCTACCTCCCCTTCAGAGAAATTTGAAATAACAATTGGTGGAAAGCAGTGGTGGAGCTGTGACTGATTTTGCAACACTCTCCTCAGGAGAGTGAGAGTTTGATAACGTTACGATTTTGCTTGAAATTATTAAACTTTATATAAATGTTTTCCAGTAACTTGTCTAACTAATTGTACATTATAAATTAGTAAATATGGATTGAGATGCAGTGTAGAATGTTTAATGTTTGATCAAATTCACAGTGATTCATCACTCTTTATAGAACTTAAAAAGGTGTCTATAGTTAATTTGTCTTCTTATAAATTACATTGAACTGAAAATATAATTTTTACAATAATTTAAATATATACATAATTAATAACTTATATTGGCAATCGTTATACTTTCAAGTATAATATGAAAATATTCTTTTAGTATGCATTATAAATTATTTATGACAAACATATTTCTCAATATAAATCCAAATTCAAATTATCTTTCGTCTAGACATTGATCAAGTGAACAAATCAATTAGTTTATTACAATCTGTAGTTTGGGCTAAATCATTTTCTGTGCTAAGAAAGAGATCAAAGAGTCATTTCTGAGACATTGATTTTCAAAGATAAATTTTTTGAGTTTTAATTCTGAAAATGGCCACTCATATGTTACAGTTGTTACAAACAATTTTGTGAATAAAGCATATGCCATACAAACATTGGGAAAACCTTGTCAATAAGTTTGTGGTAGTGCCATTTTATTTGAAAAATTTCCTTTTTAACATGGGTTGCATCATCCATTCGAGAGCTGATTCTATGCTTGAACTTTTAATTTCAAGGAACAATTTGTATACATTTTTTAGTTCTTCATATACATTGTTGAGTTATGATTCTATCACTTTTAAATCAAAAGTTACTTGAGTATAGGAGCTAGAATCAAAAATATTTTTGAAAAATTGACAAAATAATCTCAAATTTAATTTTAATGGGCTGCAGCTCTGTATTTCAACCTTTGGTAGAAAAGCTCTCAGATTCTATGTTTGTGTGCTATAGGTAATTAGTTGGATAAGAAACGGAGAAGCAATGTTGATGGCGAGTTTTGCCATTCCAAGTTGTTTGCAAGATGCGGAGCAATTGAAGAAAGAACATGAACAATTCCAAGTGGCCATTGAGGTATGTTATTGACATATTTTTGAAATAGTTATCTTAAGAAAGTTGATCAACATAACTAATTTGCAATATTTTTTTGTTGCAGAAAACTCATACTTCAGCTGTACAAGTAAAGCATCGAGCAGATGCTTTGATAAGTGCCAATCATTATGATCCCCAGAGTATTAGAGAGATTGCAGAAGAAGTTACCAAACGATGGCAGCAACTTGTCACTTGTGCGGAAGAGAGGCATAAGCTCGTGACAGCAAGTCTCAACTTTTATAAAACTGCTGAACAAGTCAGTTATATTCATATTTTCAAGGATTTTAGATTTTACAAAAAATTGAGATGCCTTCAGTATTTAGTGTCATTGATGTAACGTCTAGATCTGCATAAAAATAGTATATTTGCAAATGCTTTTTGAAAATATTCATTTTCTTATATTCCGTTGGTTTCTTATCTGTATTAATGTATTGAAGTTTTTCAAAGGGTGATGATTGTTTGCAAAATTTATAAGAGACATTCTTGTAATAAATATATTTCTGTCTCTTGAACTTGGGTCAGCTCTTGGAATTAAATAATTCAAGATTAAGCAAGTAGCTTTTAAATGTTGGGATCCTTTGAACATTTTGCTGGATTTTATGATTGTGGAACTAAGAGTTAATAAAACATATAGAATCATTTAGAGCCTATATTATCTTATATTTTGACTTTTGTATTTTAACCTTCCAAGTTATATTCTGTTTTTAATTACAACACTTATTCTTGAGAAAATGTTTCTTGACTATTTCAATAGTCAGTTCTTCACTTTTGACTGTCCACAATTTAAAAATTAAAAATGTAATAGGAAAACACTCCAAGAAAGTATTTTTGTGTACACAAAACATTTAATTGTAATATTACTGTCATTATTTTGATTTTGAAGTTTAATTATTTTGTTTTATTAAATTTGTTTTCTAAACACACAGGTGTGCTCGGTGTTGGATAGTTTGGAGCGAGAGTACAAGCGAGATGAAGATTGGTGTGGCAGCTCCACAAAAGAAATGAGCACAGGTCCTTCAAATACTGACAAAGCTACTCATGTGTCACAACTGATAAATAAACATCAAGAGCAGAAAGAGGCATTTTTGAAAGCTTGCACATTGGCCCGACGTACTGCAGAAACATTTTTGAAATACACTAGTCGAAGTTTGCAGTATTACAATTACCAAGGCGAAGCAGGCACTCGGAACTCAGAAAACAGAGTCAAAAGTATGTTCCTTTTATTCCCGTATTTTTCTCTTAATCATTCACCATCTTTTAACCAATTATGAAGTACCAGTTCTCATCAATTTTTTGAAATTGAACTTTTCAATTATTGACCTGTAATTCACAAGTAGTTACAGTGGACATTAGACCAATTTAAGATTTCTTACATAGAAAATAAAGTTATTTTCCATCAACTAATTCTTTGTTTTTCGAAAAAAATATTTTTATTTATTTCTAATGTATTATTTTAATGTTGCTATATTCTTGATTTCAAAAAGATAAATTCAGTTCCTGATTGAAATATATTTCTCAAACTTAATTTTCAGACATTCTGGAGAAATTGTTGAGTCAAGAAAATAAGGTTCTTGAACACTGGACGCAGCGGAAGAAACGTTTAGACCAGTGTCAACAGTTTGTCCTTTTTGAACGTTCTGCAAAACAAGCAATTGAATGGATTCATGACACTGGAGAGATCTATCTGTCAACTCACACAAATGTTGGCCAGAACAAAGAAGAGACTGAAACGTTACTCTCAGAACATAATGAATTCAAAGGCACAGCAAAGGTTAGTTTCATTGCAACCCTATTAATATATGTAATACATATAATTGATTTGTACTAGTGAATATCAAATACGGGAGGCTAGGACAAAGTGGTCAGCTGGCTTAAGAAGTTACTCTAGGTTATTTTCAAACCTAGCTGTTGGACACAACACTTCATTTGTACTCTGAATGAAGCTTTAAAATGTTACATTCAAAAATAAATCTGGTAAAGTTACGTTGCTATGTGTAATGCCAAAAAGACAACTGTGTTTAGGGGTAAAGAAGTGAAAAATAATGCTCTCCAAAATGTTGTTGCCTATTCCCAAGATTTTTATCCAAAAAAATAATCCTGTTCAATATTACAAGAAATTGAAATACTCTGTATTTAGTGGTGATATGTGTGACCCGTTTCCATTGATTTTTGATTTAAATGAGTGATCAAAGAAAAATTGAAATGTTTGGGGCAAATACATCGCCAAGGGTCTGTTTAGTAGGTGAAAATCTGGCTGAGAGATTATGGTAATCATTTATTAGCAGGATAAATTGCAGATGCCCCAGAAGGGTGTGCTTTTATACAAAAATCCAATCTGAAATTCGATATTCTTGAAATGACTTCTTTGCACTTTATCCCAGAAACTTTCGCTATCTCATTTTTTTCATCTTATTCCTTCCTTTTTGTGATTCAATGCACACTTTTTTCTTTTTCCGTTTAAAATTAAAAATACATTTTTATTTTTCTTGTAAATGAAGTATAATAAAAATTGAAATTTGTTTAGAGAGAGTGTTGAAACATGAAGTTCAAAAATCTCCTATATGTGTTTTTTTATGATTTTCATTTTATTATTTTCTATTGTAAATAATTTTAATATAATATCTTTCAATAATGTCACCTTCATCTATTTATATTGAGTAATGTTTAAAGTGATTCTTATTTTCCCTCAGTTTTTTCTCTCTGCTTGTAATGTATTGTTTAAGATTCTCGAACATCATGATTTTCAAATAGTCCATAATTCTCTGGTTAATTATATTGTTAAAAGATTTTTAAACATTTATAATTGATTATGTTGAAAATGGAAAACAACTTAAATATTAATCTGATTTATCTTTGACATGCATTGTTTTGCAATGATTGTAGGAAACACGTGAACGTGTCAAATTGCTGATCCAATTGGCTGACAGTTTAGTTGAAAAAGGCCATGCACATGCTGGAGCAATCAAACAATGGGTTGCAGCAGTTGACAACCGATACAAGGATTTCAGCTCAAGAATGGATAAATATCGGTAAGTATTTTGAAATATTTGACTTTAAAGCACAAGAATGATTGTGCAATTTACAACATTTTCCTTTAATTATTAGGTATATGAAAAGTTATGTCAATATTTATAATATCGAAAATATTAATTTATATGAATAAAATATTTTTTTTACTTATTTAACTTTCAAAAAAAGTAAAGAGCTAAGTGAGTTGAATGGGGGAAGTAAAGCTACTTGTACTGTCCAGAAGCTCAGCAAGGAACCATCTCAGCATCATGAAGGGAAACCAACGTAAAGATGGTATTGATGAAGATGGCAATGACGTCACCGTCATGTCAGTGGGCCAGGACTCATCCTCCTTCTTTCCTCATTATCTCCTCTCCACCCACACACAGATAACATTTTCAAGTACAACCATTAGTTTTAGTCTCTCTTCATTTTTCACCATTAATTGAAACAACATATTAACTAGACTGATCTACCCATCAGTATGCCTAGGGTTAGACATGATGTAGCTGCTGATTGAAACAGAGCTATAGCTCCCATCAAAATCTGAAAATGTACTTAAGAAAATGAATAGATAGAAACAATTGAATATTATTTGATCTGCCACCTTCTCAACTTAGGTGAGTCAACAGCTAGATCTATTGCAGCCATGACCAACCCAGGGCTCACTTGAGATAATCATCACTTTTATGTGGTATATTACGTTTTGATGTCTGTGCCCCAATCAAAT